GCTTATATTTCTGGCTTTACCCATATCCCTGGCCTTGCTTATACTTCTGACTTTGCTTATACTTCTGGCTTTGCTCATTTTCTTGGTCTTGTTCATTTCTTGACCTTTTGCATTTGATATAATTACTTACTGTTCATAAACATTGTCTGAATCAATTAACTCATTACTCATAATAAAGCTGCTTGTCTTTTTATTATACTGTATATTAGTTGTTTTTTTAAGAACTTTTTTTCAGGTATCTGCTGAATTATTAAATGGAGCTATATGTTTATAACACTTTCTTCCCTTCATTTGTGATTATAGAGGATTGCTGATTGTTTTATAATAATTATTCTCTTTATTTGATTGCATAATATGCCCTTCTTTTTCAGCAAGTTGTTTTTCCATTTTCTCAATAAACTGCTGATAATATCTTTATAATTCTTCAGCATATCCAGTTTTAATTGCCAAATTTAAAGTTTTTTTTATCAAGCCAAAACTTTTGCTATAAAGAGCTTAACTTTTTAAATAACACTGTACTTTAGAAGTAAAAACATATTGAATACGAATTGAATCAATATAAGAAAAATCAACCCTAACTTTATGTTTAAATGTACCAAAGCCTTCACTATTTTGAATTGATATTGTATTTTCATTATCAATTCCTTTAATTTTTTTTGTTACTCAATCATTAAACTATCATTTAGCTAGAATTCCAATATGAAACTGTGCTGCATTACTTTTTAATAGAACAGCAAAAAAATGGTGACAAGTTATACCATGATTAATAAGCATTAAGCATGTACACAAGTAACTAGTAGTACCAAAAAAAAGACATAATGAAATTTCTGTTTGTCTATATATAAAACAATTCAAGTTCTTTGACATCATTGTAGTTTGTTTTATAGAGAAGTTTAACTAGTTTAATAAGTATTTTATCATATAGGTTCTTACTAAATACACCTTCTGCTATATTTTAAATAAAAATAACAATTAATAATCAAACTAATTAATGAAAGTTAAAAAAAAAATCAAAAAAAATAAGAAAAAAAAATTTATAACGGATAATGATCTTGAAGGCAAAAAGTATACTATTTTGTGACTATTTTTAATATATTTTTGTTGTCATAATTCAACTTTTAAATTTGTATAATAGACTTCATAATGAACACATTAATCCATTTGATAATATTGCAGTTTTAATACTACAGGTATAAGAAATTTGGTACAAATACTGTCGATTGCTGTAAAATAAAAATCCCAATATAATGTAAGTATAATCTGTAGAAGTTCACCACTAGTTCTATTAAGCTGTACAAATTGTGATTCTTTTATTAGATGTTTCTCAATTGTACTTATTACTTCTATCAATAATCTTGTTCTATTAAGTAATTTTTTAAGAATAGCATTGTAAACTTCAACTCTTTAGGTCGATTATATACTGCAGTTAAAAAAATGATGTGTAAAGGCAAGAAACCAGGCTTCACAGTAAGAATAAAGCTGACAATTTAGATAAGATTGTGCTTTAGGATAACGATCCAAAACTCTCTTCTATTTTTGTTTAAAAACAATTTCTATAGTATTGTCACATACTTGACAAAAGCTTAAGAAAAAAGCCTTAAATTTTTCTTTACCAAATTCGAAAAGAAAATGTTTTTCAAGGTTTTTTCATATGTGAAACAAACAGAAGTAATGTTTTGTAAAGTGCCATATATTTTCAATTGCAGCTATCATAGCTGGATCTGCATCTGTATAAACAACTTTAGGTGCCAACCCTCCTGATGTATTAAGTAATCCTTGCAATATCTATTCGAATGTTACTTTTTGTTCATCTAAAACTAGAGCTGTTGCAACAAGACAAGACTGGTTATGATTGTCTATACAAACTACAACACACATTATCATATTAAATCAGTTTGTTTTATAAGTTGTATCAAGTAAGACAATATCATGAAAGCGGCACCAAATATCAATTTGTTTAGGATGCAACCAAATTAGTCCTGCAAGATGATTATTATTTCCTTCAAACTTTGCATCGACATACCAATCAGGATCTTCTTGTTTTTGCCACATTAGTTTTTTATATACTACTCTTGCATCATTTAACTTTCCTTTTTCTCCTTTAATTATTTAAACAATATTATGTGCATAGATATATTTGTCTGGATATTTGCATTAATGATCACACCAGTATGCACATTACTTGAAGCAAGAAGCTTTATGTCATCTTGCATTTCTGATATAAGACGATGATATTGAGGTGCCACCATTTATATATTTTCAGTCATTGGATATAAATATGTACCAATTATATTTGAGATATGTATTTGGTTATTATTTTTCATTTTTGAAGATTAATATGAAATATATATCCATTATTCTCATATAATTTGTTCTTTTCTTCCAATATATATGCTTTTTTTGTACTTCATAATAATGTCCTTTTGAACAATAATAAATGTGATGTCTTAATATCCCATTACTCTTATCTAACTTACTTTTACTAAAGAAAATGCAAATCCTTGTTTACAACTATGTTTAGAAAATGAACTAATACAAATTAGTATATGTGCTCTTATATAAAAAAAAAAATCTTTACCTTTTGACTTCCTTCCAATCCATAAATGATTGTCCTTTGAATAAAATATATAAGCCTTCATTCTTATCATCTGAATCATTTATTTCTTCAAAATCAGCCAAACTATCATCTTCATTAGTAGTAATTAGGTGATCATTATCATCTAAAATTTTATCAAACAAATTCAAATCATTGTTATTGTTAAAGCATAATTCTAAGCGATCGTTATTACTAAAGTATAAACCATTATTATTGTTAAAGTATAAATCATTATTATTGCTAAAGTATAAGCTATCATTATTGTTAAAGTATAAGCTAGGCCAGGAATATAAGTAAAGCCAGAAATATAAGCAAGGCCAGAAGTATAAGCAAAGTCAGAAATATAAGCAAAGTCAGAAATATAAACAAGGCTAAGAATACGAGCAAGACCAAGAGTATGAAAAAGACCATAAATATGAACAAAGTATATATAATATATTATTGCTTATATATATATTTATTAGCTTCTTTTATAAAACACTTTAAAAACTAATGGTATAATAATAGATGACAACAAAAACTTATTATATTCTGTTGTTCAAGGTAGCATATTTTTGTAAAATTTGATATTTGCTTAATATATTTTCTAACTTTTATATAACATGTTAGGAAAACAAAATTATATTTACAGATGTAGAAATTGTGATTAAAATAGACATCACAAATCTTTTTGTCTTAATAATGTTTAAAAATATGATATTTACAATTATGCTTGTATAGTTACTAATATTTATAAGAATTATCAATATATTTCATTTTATCAACAGATATTTCTCTCACAATTAAAGCTAGTTTGTTTTGAAGTTAGCTTGATTTGGAGCGAGTACTAGTTAGAATTAAGAGTTAGAAAAATGCCTGTTGTTGAAATAGAATAAATTCGTTTTAATTTTTTTTTTTTTTATCCACTTGATACAATATAGATATAAAATCTGAAATTAATAAGTTATATTATTTTAGTTAGTGAGTACTTTAAATTCGTAACTCAAAATTTGCAATAATTATTTTATAATTTCATTCTAATTGTATTATAGTTTATAAATATAGATACAACATATATAAATCTTAAACTTATATGACTTGCGTTTTTCAATAATTTAAGATTTATAATATGACTTTAATTTTTATATAAGCAATTTGTATATTGCACTTCTTCTGTAATAGTCCGGAGTGTAATGACAGACTCTTAATGTTTACATAAAGTAATATAAAAATTACGTTTTTAATGCATTTGATCAAAATTAGTTACCTTTTTGATGCATCATCATAAATATTATGAAAATCAGATCAAAAATATAAATTGGAAATTTTTTGTCAGTTACTCTGCGTGTCTATATTTGTATTTAAGTGTAATAAAAACATGCATGCTTACGCATTTGTGTTATATAATGATATTCATATACTCTGGACACAAAATATAATGTATTAGCCTAGTATAATTACATGAATATAGAATGCGTAGGGTTTCTTAAAATCAAATCAAATCAAATATTAGACTTATTTGAATTTGATTTGATTTGAAAATTTGG